ATGAATTCGGCCCCAGGACCAGCAATATGCACGCACATACTCATGAGACGTAGTCGGGGTCGTAATTGTCTACCTTTTGAGCGAGTGAATAACACAGATGCCTAATTTATCATATTTATAGTTAGAGCCTCCTGAAGCTATGCAATTATTTAAATAAATGAAGGTTGAATCCGTCATTCCTTATTATTGCAGTGTTAACCGAACGTAACATGTCCTTGCGCGCAATTCTCTGCCAGGTGAGGATGTGCAAAAAGGTTGCCTCATCCTTTAGGTTAAAAAAACATACAAGGGGTTTAGATGGTCCACGAAAAGGCCTTCCACAGTGTGGCAGGTTATTAGGGCTTTACAGTAATGCTTTGTTTATTGTAGTAAACGTTATGCCCAAGACCGATGGCTTGACTATTCCTGGTGAGTTCGTGAAGTACCACACGAAGCAAACGAAAATTGGTCTGACTTTGAGGTACCAAAATTTGGTTCGTTTGGGATGCGTTATCACACACGAATTTGATAAACCCAGGTCTGTAGGTGACCACTCAGGTGTATTGTTTTGAGTTGAACTCATTGATGGACTAAGAAATATATCTGATAGCCGAATATGTGCATCTTTTCTGGTTTGGATTATAGGATTTGAATTATAGATACAAGGGTTTGATCTAAAAGACGAAGGCGGACATGTGGATTACTAAGGCAAAGTAGTTAATGTTAGCACAGTAAAGCATGAAATGGACTGCTTCTTGAAGTAAATCAATATTTCACATGCAATATCACAAACTCGTGTGGGTTTGCAGTTTACTGCGCGTGGCTACTTTTGGTTACTTACAGAGATGCAAAAAGTCATAGGGGTTCTCTGTTGGGCAAAAGTTAGATGGAGGCCGAGGTTGTAAAAACGGCTAGATAAAAATACTAATCAATTCAAGTTTTCACACTTTTTACAGTGAATATCAGACAATAAATCCAACAAGTTGCTGGCATTATGAAAGCATCGGGACACTCGCCGTACATTGGGTCGTTAAATACCAAAGCTTTTGAAAAAAATACAACTGTCCCGCATAATGTATGGTCGATTTCTTTTGAAATCAGATTGCATTCAAGTGTTGCAACAAGAGACGCTTGGCAATCAAGAATTTTCAAATTCCCACATTTCGGAATCCGTGTCAGGCGGTATCACAATGATCCAAGGCATCGCCTAGCACACAGTAACAAAGCTGGTCGCTTGTTTACGTGACAATCAGCCATCCACCAATAATGATTTGAAACCAAGTAGTTGTTTAATTAATTTGGCGGAACGTATATTTCTCAGCGTGACCCCTGGTGTGCGCTTGTGCCTTAAACACAAAGCTTTTTAACACCTTAAATTAAAGAATATAGCAGTCACATGCTTGCACAGAGACTGACATGTGGCCACTCCATAGTACGTAGAGACAAAAAAGGACAACAGCTGCGTCAATGGAAAGCACACCCATCGACAAAAGAAGGATGGGCTCACGGAAATAAAAGTACATGTTTATTGATGAAGAGTAGCAGAAAGATAAAAAATTTTCATCCAAACAAAAGTGTAAACTACACAGTCGGACAAGCTTTCTTTCGTGATGATAATAATCTGCGCCGCAATCCTTTCTGTCCCGATGAACGCCACATAAACGTAAACACATAAACGTAAACATAAACGTAAACAGACAAGTGAGTTAAATATTATGGATTGCTTTGGCAAGTGATTTTGGGTTTTGATCAGAGAGCTCAGAGATCTCAAGTGGAACCTAAGCAGACGTTTACAGGCTTGATATTTGCGCATCGTTTTCCTACACTGATGCAGGAGAAAACACTTGGTCCAACGTTACCAGAGCTGCTTCAGTGCGTGCACCCAGTATAACCGTGATTAATAATATTTTCACACATTGGGCTAAATAGTCAAAATTAACGCTTACGAAATTATTCAAGATGAAACTAACCGACTTTGTCAGTCAAAGTATGCTTGGAAATGCTTTTTGGTGCGAACGTTATTCAAAAATCTCCTGGCCTTGTGGTTTTGGCTCAAAATAATTGTGGTAATCATCGGTTAGTTGTTAGGGGTATTTATTCTTTAGAACGGAATCAAATTTGTCGGCTCCGAATTCCAGATGTTAAGTGCTCCAGATAATGTTTATGACCTAGATTACTAGTGGAATATGTATTGCTAGGCCGTCTGATTTGATGGATCAGACATCTCTGTTCTTAGAATCATCATGATGTATATTCTGTATAAAACCCATAAGTTTTACGGGCATCATTATCTTACTGAAAAAAGCTTGTTTTCTTTGGGATCACATTCAACTTTCATTCATTTTTTTCGAATGGAAGTTACGTAAAAGAAACTACTCACAAGGCTGTTGAAAATTCTTCGACAGCTCACGACCGGTTTTGCCCTTCTTGGGGCTCATCAGGTAGGCGCAATCCCCGAGTTTCCGTCAATCTGCGATTTACTTGAATGGAAGTTATGCTTGATGATACGTTCACTGAAGAGTGCTAATCTACCTCCCAGGCTGCTACATGCTATGCTTAAGCTACTAGCAATTTTCATGTTTTCCAGCGTCAAACGGTCTCGCTAACCGGACGAAATATCGGATTGCGACTGCAATATAATTTGATCAAATCAAAAATCGATATTCAGCATTTTCCTCCCAGTTTGAAGGACCCGTTCGGTTTTCTAATCCGTAGACAGCCAAACATAGCTGGTTGTGTGAAATCTTGTTCAGAAATTTGCTACTGTAACCGGCTCCGAAAACTTTATTATTTTTTAAATGATGGTACAAATAGTTGTAAATGAATTTTGGCGTCAAATTTGCAGCATAAAGTCGATTATGTTCGGGACTGATCTTACAAAACGCGTTATTTTATGTACAGGAAGAGAACAAGAGAGCAGAGTGTATGCCACTTACTCAACTTTGGCGGCAGCCCAGGCACTTTTAGCCGATCTATGTTGGCTCTGCGTTCTTTTATCAAAAGCAAGCATAGATGGGTTTTAATGGACGTCTTTAAAAAAATGCACATTGCTTGCATAAATCACGCACCATGTTTTCCATTCTAGCCTTTAAAGCACTTCTTCAAAGGCAACTAAAGTAATATAGTTCACTTATATGCCTGAGCAAAATGTATTCGTAACCCCCCGACTCTTCTGTTTACTAGTGCGTTTTTGCTGTGGACACGTAAGTATTTTACCCTCAAGTGTAAAGGCACGTAGAAATTTGTGCTGGTTCAGATGAAGACCCCTGTTGAGGTTCTCGATACGGAACTTTGGGTGACGCGTAGGTTCGACAATCCTGAATATCAAAAGGAAGAATTGGGTTCGTAATTGTACGGTACTATTTACACAAGGGTAAGCAAATGTGTACAACAAACATCAATTGTTCACGTTCGTAGCGTCAACAAGCTCACAGGTCTGCCACTGAACGGCACAGTGCAGTCTCAAAATCCGCACATCTAACAACGGCGAGGGGAATGATGACTCAGTAGCGTGGGTTGCGGTCACGCTTCCGAAGGCAATCTCGTGATTCTCATTGGACGTGCGATCACACGGAATTCATGAGAAAACAAGTCAGGGCAGCGAATATATACTCATCTGCAAACTAATTTGGTTCTTTCGAGATACTCACCTGGAACCCAGCTGAATCTCTCGTTTATGATATTCTCAGGCAACTGAATGTGTTGCACCAGGCCGCCTCATGTTCCAGTCGCTAAGATATTTGAAATGTCGCGATACATGTATATTTGTAATGTACTACTCATAAGGTCGATGGATTTTCAGCAACCTTATGAGTAGTACATTACAAAAGTCAGGACCGGATCACCAAACGGGACATGAACGCGCATATTTAAGTAGGGCAGAAGCGCACATTCACACACAGACACCCATATCAGTACCCGAGCGTCGATAGGACGGGTGGCGGGTACGGATAAGCAAAACAACCAGGGGTCAAAAGTACACAGACGGAGCAAGCAAATTAATGGGGGGAGATTATCGTAAGGTCAAGTTAGATTCAACAGCCCCGTATCTGTGTTGGTGACGCTGGCAAAGAAATCCTTGAAAACTACGCTACAAATAATGGTGAAAAAATTCTGTTGTTGACTGTGGCGATAGTAAAAATGAGAGCGCTCTAAAACCACTCCAGGTTTTTGTGCACATTTATTACCTACGCATTGTTAGAGTGGCCGAATACGCTTTTGTTGCACAAAAGAACAGAATAGAATACACGGTAGTCTATACTTACCATCTTCTAGCTTTTTCACTCTTTCTGCAATGGTGAGAGGCAATAAGGAATCGCTATTTAATATGCCGTTAAGCAATTTTCCTGCGTAAGGACAACACATTTCGTCCTTTATACCATTATGATGTAAAGTATCGTGATTTTGTGTCACGACTTAGAAGTAAATTATTTTCTACTAAAGAATCGATCCGAATGGGACGGTCTGAAGAAAACACCCGGGAACAGGATACCTGAATTAGTTGAAAACTACAAGACGCACCTTCTTCCTTCTTCTCTGGAATCAAAAAGTTGGAGAATTTATTTTTTTCGAAGTTTTTTAAAATGGTTTATGATGCCAGTCAGAAAATAGGTTTTTGCTATATCTACATCTGCCGTCACAGCTTGATTTTTAAAATTTCTTAGGGCTGATTTTGCTGCTGGAATGTAAAAGATCAGATCATCTGGCAGAATACACTGTACATTGAGGCTGACGACAAACAATCTGGTATAATTTTCCGGGAATAAACGAAGTCCAACTGGGTTGGAAAACTGCACACTTGTGTGTAGGCCGACTACGTAACGGAATCCGGCATGCATAAATGGACCAAATGAAACGGAATCAACTAAAGTGTAGGGGAGGAGATCGCCTTTCAGGATGGGGACAGCGTGATCCTCACTGACATTACACGATATGGCTGCCAACCGATGTCAGTGCCGTTCTATCCAGATCGCCTGAGGGAGTGTCTGGAGACATAGGTACCTCGGAATGATTGTTGTAAGCTAGCACCAAGTCCCTTCCCTGTCCACCTTTACTCTTTTCTTTACAATAAGGCTTTCAAATAAATCATGGTTGTACGGCAGTGAAGCATCTGTGTTGAACACCGATGTCATAATGTCGATGAGGATGATGATGATGATGACGATGATGTAGGAGGAGGAGATGCAATACTAAACCACATTCGACGCCGAGAGGGAATAGTTGATTCGTTGCCCCAGTCAAATAATTCAAGCTTCGATAAAATTCGTGGGTCGCGGCAGTTCATCGGAACACCACAAATATTGTTGTTTTTTGTTCACTTTTGCTTAACTCTGAGAGGAAATCAACGACCAGCTCACAAATTACCGGTTACCAATGCCGCATCCATTGTTTTCTATGGAAGGCAGTTTGCCCACAGAGGCCAGCTTCTGCACTAAATTTTCTTGGTAAGCTAAACACGGTCGACTGTCCGGCAGTTAAAATAACTGTCAAAAAGTTCTCCTCCCGCCTATCACGTAACTGACTGGGTAAATGTTTGTACTTGAATTACCTAACTGTCCTAATTGATTGGATAACATTTAGAACAGCACTGGCAGATAGATCTGAAAATAACAGCTGTCCAGATATATGGATACTCATTTTTCTGTATGCGCCCGTTTTAAGTTAACTTGTTTCTCTGATGAACTCCTTAATTGAGCGCTTCTATCTTCTTGGTCAAACGTGTTTTTGTGCATGAACGACTGCAGCTTTGATCAAATGTACACATCAGTATTTACAAAATATGGTTAAAATAACATAATTTGACGGGGAAGATATTTACTTCTGTTCTTACTCTTGTCCAACAAATTCTACATATTGATTGGAACTTACGGTCTACCAACGATTCCGGTGTCTGATAAGGATAGCGATCATTTTTGTTCCCTCTTCCGACAAAAAGATAGCGAAATACAGTGAATTAGTTATGCCTGCAATAAAGTGACGGTGCGTTTGTACGAAAACATCCCACTCGGTCGCGCTGCTTACTTTGGTGAATAGTAACACATCGTGGCATATACATCGTGGTCCCATGTGAAGCCCGTCCAGTACTTTGCACAAAATTCCCTGTGACAGCCGACTTGTTTCGTATTTGCCCAGATTATCTGAATAAATTTAAACACTGAATTTAGAAGATCAAAAAAACCACGCTTCGGGGAAACTGTACCACTGGCTGAATAGAACAAAAATGGGTATTTTTGTGTTTCTTGATCCTAGTCAAATATAATTCCGAAGGTAAGATGATCCACCTGGCACTGCCCAGCCTCAAACCAAGATGCTAGATAGGCGTGCGTGTTTGCTGTTAGCTTAGGTTACTGGACCAGTCGGAAACCAATACTTAATGTTTTGCCGTTCAAACGAACTTCTATTGACTACCGGTGACGTCCTTATATGAAAAAGAAAGCGGTTTTGATCCACAGCCTATTTCCTACTTTCATTCGGGCTTGTAGAAAATGAGCTTCTAATGAGGTTTTCGGCCAAACCCTGATTATGCTGCTGACCCAGCATGTGGTACGCCCCTTCCTTTTTGTCTCAACGCTTTCACGCTGTTTGCGTTTTAAGTAGACTGAGCCCAGGCACAATGTAATGACAAATTAACGTTCCATTTATCGCCAAATAAGCGGAGCCTGTGGGTCCGCACTATATTGACCAAAATAAGCTAGAGTAATTTTGACCTTTTAAGTAAACAAACATGCTTTGGAGATGTGAGCGTTTACGATTTTTTTTGCTAGATTTCGGATGAAAATTAAGGCCAATTTTACCAACATATTGTACAGCTTATCTCTAAACAGCTTTAAGTTCTGATATAGTTACGCCATCAGGGTTGCTTTCAAATAAGCTGCTGACGAACTTCCAAATATATTAAAAATTACTATGGATGAATACAACTTGCTCACCTGAGTGTACCCCATGTTATCAACAGCATTATCTGGAGGGTACTTTCCGAAAGTGTATGTTCTGTGTTCTTCAAACCACTGGTTTAGGAAACTTGACATGAAGAGTGAAGTGAAAAACAAAATGTCTGATGGTAACGAAAGATTACTGTTCGTTTGCTGTTCATGCTAGACGGTAAAAATTCAGGAAGACCAGGTGACGCAGCCTATCTTTCAAAGAATATGGAAATGAGTACCATTACCTAGCGTTCCATGTGCTACACATTTCGGGAAATATGAGACTTCCAAGAGCGCTTAACGATTTAAATCTTCTGGGTGCCTCTGATGATTTTGTACGTTCAAACTGTGAGTGAAATGTAGACTCACCGGAAGGGGTGTTCTCAAATTTCAGAAGTCACGAACCGCACTCGGATTAATGTAGGCGTCTTATAACTGCTTAGCTTTGTTGATAATAAGGATGATAATGTGTTCATATTTAAGAAATTCACCTTTCAGATATCCTTTTATTAGTCTTTCCTGGTCATTTTCTCGCTAGATCTATGCCATATCACGAGTTCCTTCAACACTATACCATCGTCAGCAGGCCGTCTTACCATTTCTCTATCGTCAATCATTGTTGAACCTTGGGTATCTTGATATGGCTAGAAGAGTCTTGCATTCATATGCACTTATGTTACGATGTTTTCAAATGATTTGAAACCATTTGCTATCCCTCACCTCAATTTCACACTGTCACCTCGCGACAGGTAAGTTGAAATCTGCGTACGGTTTGAATAAAGTAAACTATAATCTGCGTACCACTCACTGATCAACTTGGTGATCAAAAAAAAGCGGATTTAACTCGAACGTTAGGAAGTAAATGAATCTACGAGGACGGTGAGAATGTTCGAATAACGTTTGCTAAATCGGCTTGCACAGGTCGAGTGGAAATTGGTGAGAACTTTCAAGAGAAAAACACTGAGTTGTGATGCGTCTGGTACTATTTGCTTTGTTGTACGCTGACCAGACGTATTTAAAACTAAGGATAAAATAGACCACCATATTATGCTGAAGAAAGGGTTTGCAGGAAAACCAGTTCACGGAAGCAGTCCGGAGCTGCTTTCATGTTTGAGACCGAATGGGTAATGGAAAACACTACCTTCAGACCTCTGCGTTACATGGGGTTGGATGGAAAGTGTTCAATTCGGAAAACATGTGGACAAACAATGCAGTTGTTTGAAGAAGTCAGTAGTTGACAGAAAGCGAGGATGCATACCGGAAGACGCACACTACTTTATTACAGTTATCATTTTGCATGATGACGGTGGTTACCACAGTAGAATGTAAGGAAATAAAATTCATGAAGATATGAACACCTTTATATGTACGTCAGGCGGTGCTCATGACCCGGAACGGAAGGCGCGTAGTGTCCATCAGTGAACAGAAACTTTTTGTTCAAATCCAGCACAGTTTCTCCTCCACCCATATATGTAATACTGCTAATGGTGCAATCATCGTGACAAAGTTCGTTGGTGTCAAAAATATAGGAAATTTTGTTGTCAGAGCTACTTTGCAGTGGTCAGACGCTTAACTCGTCACCAAAAACGATGTGCTCAGGCCTCATTAGGTATCCATAAATCCAGTCAATCATGATAAGCGTCCTCTGAGGTGACGAACACGAGTTTCCTTAGGATATATGGATTAAAACGAGTTTGAAATTTCCAGATGGGACCATTCTAAAGTAGCGTTTTGGATGCACTTACAACCTTGTGGGTTTATTCAGCACACTATAAGTCTTTTTCTGCATGGTTAAAGTAGCCGAGAAACCCTTGTCAACATCTGGCCACATTTCATTTTGCGACACACTTTCTTACTTCATTTCATCTTGGTCACGCAGAATCCGCATGCACAAAATCACTCACATCGATGGTGAAAGTTGGGCCAAGGATTTACTTTATTTTAACACAGTCTCTTGGAAGAAGTCACTCTTTCTTGAGAAGTCGCGGTGTTATTTTCGCGTTGGAGTGCACTAGTTTGGATACATCTTGAAATAAACGTCTCGTCTGGAAGGACAGAATCACCTTCGGCGTAAGAGTGATGTTTTGAATCCAGTATCGAATATGTTCAGTTCGCTGCAGGACAATCACAATTTCGTCAACAAGCTGTACTCTGTCACGCTTTCTTTCCACCCGACCATGCTGGCAATAAGCCTTCTGAAGTAGTATATTCTATAATCCAGAAGCTTTTTTGGAAGGAAACTAAGCCTTGCCTCTTACTCGTCACGCAGATGGCTCTAATGCCATTTTCTGTTCGATAAACCATGAAAAGCAAAATATAAAGCCGGTCGTGAAATGCCAGCACGAGTACCATATCCAACCGAGCAATTATTTTAATCGTCAAAAACCTAAACTGCGTCACCCACAACAGCACCAACAACTGCATCAGTATCGAAGAAAACGAAACATTTCAAAAACAATTGTTGCGCATACTTCAGAATAGTATTAAACGTACTCATAACTGGGATGACGATAGACCGCTAGGAGACCATCAGAATTATGGGTTCCAGAACATGCGAGTTTTGCCGCTTTTTGCGCCTCCTTAGTCAGTTGAGAACTCCAAGTCTGCATTAAGGTAGCCAAAAGAAAATTAAAGTTCGAAGAAACAAAAAAGAACCAAGCACACGTGACTACATCAGATGACAGACTCAGTCAACAGGGACCAAATATTTAGATGTCCTGTATAATTATAAGTTATCAGAAAACATGAGTAGCAAAGGGAAGTATTTTTAGACCGGTGGAACAGTAAACAAGACCAACTGCGGATGCAAGCTATCTGCAAGAATGTCACACCGTCTGTCCTTGGGTCACTCGTTTATTACTTTGTTAGAATCCTAACTTCGATCTACTGCATTATTTTTGCTCCCGCCATATAGTTTTCGTGTGACACAGCAGGGGCACATTTCACCATCTACAGCGTCCACATTCACTTAGTACAATGGCCGGAAAGTCACAAGTGTAAATGTGTCTCACGGGTTCTGTGCCAACAAGCAACAAAGCACTCGGATACTCTGCCCAAACTGAATACGTATGAATGGGAAGATATGCCTCTTTTAAGGAACTCATGACAGTTCTCGAGCTTCGTAATCGGAGATAAGCTTGCCCATTACTCAATTCTATTTAGATAGTTTATGACGGGAAGAAAAGGGCGTTTGATTAACATACATATGGTCAAAATTGGACGCTCGTTAATTTAGGGTGCATTGTCGTTTGGTTAGCACTGTCAGAGAAAAAGCAACGTGAAAAAAACAAGTGCAGGAGATCAAGGACAACCGTTACTCACATAGCTAAACTGTCTACTAGTTGTGGAGATTTTGTCCTGTAAGTGAAGCCAATCTATGCTGAAAAGCCGACAGGCACTGTACAGCTGTTTCGGAGTTTCGTGAGAAACGCACTGCTTACGATTCCCAATAAGGATGAAACAGCTATACAGTGCTTCTCGACTTTTCAGCATAGATTGGCTTCACTTACATGACGAAACCTCCACAACAAATCCCTAATCTCCTCACCCTACCAACAAACTATCTACTTGTCTAAAAAGCTTTTTCATGGACCAAGATCAGTATTTGAATTGCACTGCAGGAAAAGCTCACATAATCTAATCTCGGGCAAGCAGATTTCGATTTTTGTATATTTGACTCAAACGCCGATGAACTCGGTGGAGTCAACAAGAAAAATACTTGTAACTACAAAGACAATACTAAAACCATCAAATTCGCAATCGTCTGCTCGTCCATGTATATTTCTGTCGTTCCCTATGCCAGCCATCTTCCCGCCCAGTTTGCCACTCACATTTGGGGACATCGTCTAAGATACCCATCACCCTGAAGCTTAATTTTTGCTTATCTAGTCACACCTGGCGATTGAGAGATATGAACACATTTGACTAAGTCACGTGCAGGAAGGCTTGATACTCAAATATTTACCCACAAAAGCCCTGATTCAGCCTAATTAGTTTGCTCTCGACTGTGAGCCTAATCCATACAAACAGACAGTTCAAGGTGATTCTGGTGTGTTGGCCCCATTTTCAGTATGGAACTGAGGTCCATTATCGGTATGAACGTTGTAGCGTCGCGTATGCACGAATCCACAAAAGCAAATGAGGTCGACCGACTGGGTTTGTTTTTCTTTGTACATTTACTCCCCTACTTGTGTCTCTGTTTTTCATGATTATATAAACACGACTATTGCTTGTAAGTTGATAATAATATGAAAGCAACACCGTTATATTTATAGAATCCTCGAAATATTTCAATTGAGATTTCGCCCCGGAAGTGGAGTCATTCTACAATCATTCTAAGTCATTCTTATGGTAATTGGTTAAAAGATGCATGGTAGCTAATTATAAAATATCGGTTTAAATCAAACACCGGGTTACTAATAATTCATCATCCCTTTTTTAAATTTTTAGTTGGAACCTCGTCATAAAATAATAAAGTGACAATTGTAGTGCCAAAATATCACACTCGTTGAAGTTAGTAAAAACACCTTGTCGCATAATTCAAGATCCCTGAAGTTCAATGAGGGAACTAACAATAGCGTTCCAGTTGAGCTTTCTGCTTTCTAAGGTCTATCAGCTCAAAGTTCAAGAGTTTTTCAACCTAGTTGCTCAAAGCAATCACCGGATGCAGCAGTAGGCTTTAAGCTATTGACAATTCTAGTCATTATTACGTGAATGAAACTGGTTATGGGTGACAAGCGAAACCAAACACCTTCCCCAGTGTCAAACAGCTAAGAGAACAGGGCATTACTATTTACAAAGTAGATAGGTTCACGTGGATATACTGTAGTTTGTTAAATGGGTGTGTGCGAAAAAAAACATCAGAGTGAGATTCAGTCTGAAGGCTTGTTAGCTCGGCACATTGTCAGACCATTTCCTTGTCACGTGAGCCAACCAGTCAGACCATTTTGCAAAATTCCTCGTAGGAAATAAGTCAGTATTTCAAAACCGTATGTTTTCAGCACTGTTCGAGCAAATAGGCTATAGTAAATTTCGCTTTCTCACCTTAACGCCTTGTAGGATTTTGAAGATATGAAGACAGTGTGGCAAGTTTTTTCAGGTATCTCACTTGTATCCGCTTAAGGCTTTCGCGTTATTTCGAATAAATGGATACAAGTGACAAAAGCAGTCTAGGAGAAGCATTTTGGTCAACCACAAATCAAAAGAGGCTCATACAAAACGAAATACTTCAGCTAGATTGGTTAGCACAAGTTCTGTGCCATATAGGCCTATTTCTTCATCCCTGTGTATAATACCGGGTTAGTTGGTTCACAAAATTTTGGGGATAATTCCATTGTAAGACTAACCAGACTCGGCATTTTCAAGGGTTTTGGTTGTCCAGAAACTTGTCCACTGAGAAGCATTGCACGGTAGGTATTGTGCTGATCTAGCCATCCTTGTTCTTCCGAATTGGCAGGAGCTAAAGTCGAGTGAGCAATACTACGATTTAGTCGTTTCGTCGAAAGGATAAACTAAAACTACATGAAGCTGGCAAATTTTGGTCTCAGCTGTGGCAAAATAAAAAGTTTGCAGAATTGTTTTGACAAAAAACAGTATTTTCTGTGTGGAAGGTAAAGTACGCTTAAATGCTCTTTCTTAGTAGTGTTTAGCGTTTCAGAATGGAATGTAGAGAAGTGATTAGTGAGGAAGTGTGATTGTTTTCTAATCCCACGATTAAGGTTGTCCGGCCGCGGATCACTAAGGCAGCAGAGACTGGTAGCACTCTACACTGTTATGGATGCGGATGATGATGGCTGATGAACCAACGTGAAAAGCGTAAACTGCTACGCTCAAAATAAAGCCAGTTGCTGCTGAACGTACTGATATGCTGCAACTGCCTTAGGCCCAAGTATTTCGTTGATTGCTGAAATTCTCTACCTTCGCTGCAATGTTTGTTCACATTTTGCACTAAGCAGCTTCAATCGTCTCATCATCTGTAATAAAAATTATTAAATTTGAAGTTCGGCTCCTGGCTTTTTAGATCATACCCTTTGTTTATCATTGCGCGTGAAAGGCCGAGGACCTAACGTAGACTCCGTTTCCACAGCGCCACGTTTTGATTATATTTCAACAAGTGGAAAACTTTGAAGATTTTCGTTGAAAGCAGAAATTTGGCAAGTCGTTGGGAGAAATATAATGAATGCCATGGATGTATTTTTGAAGGCTCTACCACGAACTTGTTGTTGGGTTCAGGTGGAAGGGAAAATTGAGGAATTGAAGGAAATAAACCATTTGCATTCATTAACTCTCATTACAGGATCAGATGACCACACAATCTATCCACATTCCACAGCCTGTGACAAATACATTATTGTGTTTCTGAAAAGCCAGGTTGACCGCACTTACTGTCACCAACCGGTTGTGCTTCTTTTTTATCTGGTGATTGGAAGAAAATTATCTTAACAGACGATCGCGTTAGTGGACAAAAACGAACAACTCCGAAGCTTCGCCACAGAAAATGCTTCGGGTATCTGTAGTAGAAGTGTACATACTAGTGATCGATAATGGAGGTCAGATGTGTAAGAATGGGCTTTATAAGTTTGCTATAGTCTGAGAAATTAGGCCTACATCAATTAAAAGCTTTATCACAGTTGGAACGAAATAACGCAGAAAATAAAAAAATAAAAAATGAATAGATAAATAAAATGAAACAAGTGAAACGGTAAAATGAGTTAAAACTTGAAATAAACAAATAAATATAAAAGCATATTTAATTAATTAATTAATTAAAAATTAAAAATACAAAGCTTTTAAAATATTAAATATTACGAAAATTAAAAAATATTTAAAAATTCATCGTTACAAACCCCGACCTTAGCCTATGACTTTTACTGCACTCTAGGCCAACTGTGACGGGGCAATACGATGGAGGTCCCCAGACCGACGAGACAAAATCTAAGTTGATGAGTGCCCAAATCCCTGGATTATTGTCGTGTAACACACAGTACACACCACTGAACGCGCCTCTGATTGACAACTCTGACCACAATAGAAATAGGATGCGCAAATATTAACGTATGAAGACCATAACGGTGTGCTCATTACAGAGCATGCCCACGTAAAATCAATCAAAAGTGCCGATGGTATGGCACAAGAATACACAATTTCAATTCAGTGGTATCCCGTCGGCAGTAAACCTTGCTGCTGTCGCGCCTGAAGAACTGGTTTTTGGAGTCATGGTCTAGTGCAAACGGTGCTCTATAAGCTTCACCAGGAAACTGTGGAACCTACCCGTGTGACAGACACGCTGTTCTGAAGTCCGTCGGAATATACAACCAAAAATTGTTTCCGTACGATCCTGAGCTTTCTAAAGCACACTCACCCTTGTTAATCTTCTTATCCTTCTTTCGGCCTGAAGTAGAAAAACGCATTATTACGTCAGTGGATCAGCAAGCGTAAACGAAGCACAAACGAGAGAGTGAAGTTACGAGTAGAGAACACCTGAATGGAGTTGCAAAAATGAAGTCATAAGATATCTGTGGATAGGTGCGTTTCATGTTTACAAGAACATCTCCGATGATTGGATTGTTCCGGTGTCTAAAACTTAGACAGCTTGTTTGCTCGTATTGACTTCATATCATTAATTTCAACTATCTATTAATGAATGGGTCCTCAGATCTGTATATCAGACGTTTTCTGTTGTTACCAAAAAATAAACCGTCATATTCTGAGTTCACTATATCACACTGGATCATTTTCAGCATTTTCGTATCCATCAGCATGGTTCTACAGCAGTGATTAAAGTGAAGTTCAGCTTCGCGAAATATTTGTGCTTTAATGGTTTTCCATCAAGTTCTGAACCGAAAAATTCCACCAATTAACGCTGTAAGCGTAACATTCACATTCTCGACAACCAAATCTTATAAAGTTCACATACTTTTTGGAGGAACTTTTGAAATTAGGCGTTGAAACTATGGAGGGAGATATCTGCCCAAAATCATCTCGGTATATTGGCGTGTGGTGATTCTGTTAATACGGTTTTTTACTTTGAAGATTTTTCCAGAAAACTCCAGTACCATGTTCCGGAGACGCGAAACTTTAATTATTTGTGTGCTGAACGACAGGTTAGCCAGAAAGTTGCTGTGAGCTAACAGTAATTTGACAAAAGCTGACTATTCAATCACAGACAAACTTACCCCGGCGCTCTATGGATAGAAAGCAGGAGTCTAAGTACACATATCAGTACAATTAACGTCCACTGATTCTTATTGCTCAAAAATTAGTAATCACGCTGAAGTTAAATACAATTAAGGGTTAACCGTTTATATATCGACTCACTCTTTGCAGGGGTGCTCATTTGTTGAACCTCTGTAAAAATAGGGAACATGGGTAGGTTATTCAGAAATGCGCGGATAAACGGGATGAACTTAATTGTTTCTTTCAACGTGTAACTACTCAACTGCATGTGTCATCGCCTCCACCGAAATATTTGTTCTGCCTGTTCATCTTCAGCCGCCCTAAATGAGCTGTCGAAAGTTTTAAGAATACCAGTAGTTTTTATATCGTGTTTGTTTGTACCCAATTTGCCTGAACCCATTTGACATTCGATTCTGCCAATAGAAAAGAGCCAGATAGACTTAGATGACGAGTAAATCCTAGAATTAGGGGTTTGCTTGGCAATTTTCTTACATAGGTACATATTACTGCACGAAATGCACTGTCATAAACGAGAGATCAGGTGTTCATTATTGTGGGTCTCCAGTGGAAACCAAATTAGTATGTATTTGTTGCAAATCTATAAAAGTTGTGCAGGCCTACAGGATAACTTAACCAAGGCTAAAATAGTGTTGAGTAAACCGGCGCTATATGTTTTGTGTCAGGAAAGAATTTAGATTCACGAGGAACCAATCTAGTCATCCAAACCGGCGATCTGACCGCAATTGTGCGATTGAAGTATCATTTCGATAAGAGTGAGTCGGAAAATCTGATAATCTAGATAAAATATTTATGGGAAAACAAGCTTTTTAGCGATAACTTCTAAAGTGTGACAAATTTTATTCCCAGATTCAACATCAGTATCAGTTGTCCAGGATTTATTTTATAAAAGCTGGTACATTGATTGAAGTGATCTTATAAATTCTATCCCACCAACAAAGCCAGTCTATGCTAAAATCAATAAGCACTGTAATGATGGTTCGTTAGCAGAGCGTATCCGCCGAAAGTTCAGTGTTTCGAGACCGTTTCGCGACGAATAGGTAACGAATATTGTGATTGTCTTGGATGTTGACATGATATAGCGGCGTTTGTTCATCACTCATGGATTTTCGCCTGGTCACACGCGTTGACTGGCTCCTCTAGCGAGGATGAATCTCAGCTGAACTTTCTATTAGTGCTGCGAATTCACTCTACACCTGAGCTACTTATGGGTGACCAGTAGTGTAAGGTGATTTAAAATTGGCGGCAAATATTTCTGAGTTATTCAAACTGGCTTGTAATGTCTACCTTGACGAGTTTCATTATACGTCAAGTTTAACAATACACAAACGATCTGCTGATTTACGTAAGACTGTTTCATATAGGCTTATAGACACGTCTAGCTTGATTTACTGGCACTTGTCGCAGATACTGCCATACAAACAGCTCGTCATTTACACACCGATATTAGCGCAGAGCACACGAAACATGCGAATTCCGCATATGCGACTCATCACTTTGAGTATGAAGACCATTACAATCAGCCAGTTGAAGATAAAACAAAATAGCTCTTATTCGTATGACCAAGTCAGTAGAAGGGGTCATTCCACGGACAAGGTTGATGAGGGAAGAAAGAATTCACGTAGGACCCAACCAGACAGTTTCCATCGGTAGATGAGGCTTGTAAATTCGGGTATGTAGGTGGGGATTTTAAAGTAATATTCATAGAATTAAAATGCCGCGATACAGTGCCTTTGATGCTATAAGAAATCTTAGTCACAGAGAGTCATATTTCTAGTGGAATTCCTTAGGAGATCTAAGACACTCTCGAATCAACCATTCCAACACAGGCAGCTGTGAAGATTGTAGTTGTTAAGCCGGTGTTTGCTGTTTTCCTAAAATTCCTAAATTTAAGCCAAAAAAGGAGATCGGGTGAGCAGAATTTTACGACCGTTTTTATTGTCACTGTGGATAATGCGTTGACTTTGGCGATCTGTCTATCCCAATCACTTGGATGGCTCTGCTTTTGCGCCATCCAGCCTTTCTCAAAGACCAACTATCGTCCAGACAGTCTGGCGACCTTTCGCCTGCAAAGTGAAGGCCACCGACGGGTAGAACTGCTCGTATATAGACGTAACATATATTTACAAGCAACAGATTGAAAAGGATGGAAAGAGTTGCTCGTGTTCCTAGAAGGTAGTCTGCATAAAGAATTACATTGTATCTGGATGTTTATGGAAAGCAAACTTTCCGTAAGAACCCGCTTTTCGCACTGGCTTTCTACTATATCAGAACCAGCGCGTCAAGCTCGCGTAGGTTTTGTATACAGTAAACGTTCTTCCTGGTTCAAAGCTTATGAAGGACTGTCTTGGTGACATTATGACCTGAGTAAGGATGATCTGTGAAAGCTTATGTTCAATCCATAGTTATTTGGTAGAACACATCACCTGACTGGAGAGTTTTGAAATAGGACCTCAGGGAGGTAAATGGTTAGAATTCACAGCAAGTTAGCAACGCAAGTGCTGGCCAAAATTCCACCCTGAGCTACCATTGTTCGCTCAGCAGTGTACGCTACTTGTAGTACAAAACGTGAACTGTTGCCAAAGTACACGCACGTTTAGTCAGTGTGATCTAGTGACGTGAACAGAGGCCAAAATTTTGTTCCACTGTTCTAATATATGGTTCTTATCAATCGATGCTAAACTGTTCTCTTGTGTGTCTTGAAAACTGAAGTAGTTGAGGCGCTTGGCACTTTAAATTCATATTACTATTTGACTGTGGACACTACCCCACATATGAACGGGTCGTATGTGAGTAAACAAGTTGTAACATTTTCCGTTTTGTTTGTTAACCGTGGACTTCTGTAACGTTTACAAGGGCCCACTGGTGCTTCCTCAGTGGGTGTGGTTATTCTGACATCCGAACCAGTGAATTAAACGGAGGCGCGCTGAATGAATAACTCATACAATTATCCCCAACAACAACGATTGCCGAATACATCCATTTGCAAACTAATTTGGTCTTTAGAGAGACTTACATGGAACCCAGATGAATCTCCCGTTTGTGATGCTTCCAGGCACGACTGTGTAGTGACTGAAACATGAGGCGGCCTGGTGCAGAACATTCAGTTGCCTGGAAACAGCACGAACGAGAGATCCGGCTGGGTTCCAGGTGAGTCTCTCGAAAAACCAAGCTAGTTTGCAAGTGAGTGTATTTCGCTGATTTCATGCCATTCGGTTTCAAGTAGAAAATAAGGTTGACGAAAAATTGGGAACTGCGCCCACTTGGTGAGCCCCAAAAAGGGCGAAACCAGTCGTGGGCTGTCAACGAATTTTCAGCAACCTCATGAGTAGTGCATTAACAACGATTGTCCTTCGGAATATCTTGTTCTCCTCCCCAACCCCTTACAAGGAACGCGGTTTCATCCAACAAAATCTAATTTGGAAGGTTTTACTGGGCCTGAAAGCGCTGTTTGCATGCCGTTTTTCAGAAAGTGCGTTGCAAATGACAGGCTGGGAATATATCCTCAGTCAACCGCAGCAAAGACAACTAGGTTATGGACCATACAACTGACGCGCTCCTCAAGGAGACGTGGGGAAGGCCAATTATTAAGTAGACGTCAAAAATTGTTACATCAATTCCAGGCTTTTACATGCAGTGGATGGTGGTTCACTTATCAAATAGGATAGTGACACCCACAATCGAAATTCTTAGTTAACTGCTTCATTCAGTGCACCTGTCTCCCACATCGCCATTTCTAGTTAGTAATTAATTACTTTCGACTGAGCAGTTACTGGTATGGTGCGTTTTTTCCCAAATTAGGAACAAGTGACGTAATAAACAAAATAGTATCTTGGAGGTACATTGTCAGGAAGGTACTGGAATGCCTGAAACCTACTGAGACCCGCAAAGTGTACCAAAGTACGGTAGTGAAGCGTCGGGGTGTTGAACACTGATGTCCTGTTGTCGATGACGATGATGATGCTGATGCTGATGCTGATGATAATGATGATGATGATGCTGACAACGATGATGATGATGATGATGATGATGATGATGAAAGTGTACCCAAGTAGCAGTAGGAAAACCATCAAGCATCCAGGCCGGAAAAGTTCACTTCCGATCGAAGGCTCAAGCATATGGTCCATTCAGCTGGAGCCCTTCATAGAAGCAAGGACGAAGATAATGGGTGATCACCAAACGTTGGTAAGACAACCTTGATTAGTGAAAAGTACTCTTAACATAACACGAGGCCGCTTACAACAATTGCGCTCGCGCGTTCGCGAAACATCTCTTGTGTTCCTTGTTCACGAGTCCTTTTTCGACACTAAAGTATTGGAGCGGAACAGCAGCTAGAGACTAGGCACATCATCGTGTAAGCAGTCACGATCGTTCCTTTCAGGATCGATTACATCCAACAGTTTAACGTAAATGCTGTGCTGGCACATCTTCCTATGGATAGCCTAGTGGTGTCCGCATATAACCTATAGGATCAGAGAATACTCATTGATAAAAATACGCCGATCAAAATAGATTTTCTTAGTCTACGCTTACGTTCGTAGGGTAATTCCGTTGCCACATTCCCCCTGTATGGAAGGGAAGTGAGGTAATCTGAAGAAATCATATCAATGATTCCAATTGAAACAAAAGTGGATTTATGCAGCCAGAGACAATGTTTCTGAAGTGAAGCAAACAAACTTCGAACAAATAAGAATCGCGCTTACGGTGGCCAGTATCGACAAATTGTATTATATATATTATTTTCCCAAGTGTAACGCGTCCAAAATCTGTTGCAGTAAGCCCGATAACATCCAACTGTCTGTGTGCGAGCCCATACAAGCTGAAAAATGTAAATAAACAAGTGATAGTCATTTAGTTTCCATGATATGGAGGCTTCCGTTTGATTATTAAGGTTGACGTACCTGTGTGTAACCCGACACTTGATCGGGGTTTTCTGGGGGATACGGACCGTATTTGTAATGGACATGTTGGTCAAACCACTGTTTGACGGAACTGCGGTTATAACAGAAGGAAGTAGAGATGTGAGTTCCACGAGAATGAATGGTACGTGGTACAGATTTATCGCGGAAGGTTGTTCCGTGTATGAAACAAGAAATGCTTCGCATTGGTTTTATGTTTAAATTCAAAATCTTTGAGGTAAGTAGATTATACTGGTCGACACACAATTTTTATTGAAATTCGGCCACATTCATGAGAGTAACACCGTACATTTTCCTGGTTACAAGTGCGTATTCATCAATTGGTCGACTGAAAATCAATTTTCAACATATGGGCATAATATATGATGGAATAATTACGCCAAAACAGGAACACGGGCGTTCTAACGAGAGTGGTGTGTCTATGAACAATAATGTCTATCCCGCAAAACCCCAAAATTGCAACCGAAAATCGGCCCAGTGTGTTTCAAGCGTGTGCCACGCTACCTGAGTGGGAAGTCCTGACTGGCGGGTCAATCGATCGTCGCAACCAGGACAGTTACTGGTCGTTCGATGGTGAGTCGAGCACACCTAGCACATTGCTCAAGTGTGAACACGTTCGCCTGTTCAGACATGATTGTTCAGATGCGTCCAACGTGCGTTGGTTGAGTAGTACTTACACGCTCGCCTCGCATGTCATATGTCTGGGGTTCAAATTCCGGCACGGTCATTGGATATGCACTGCTGATGAGCTCTAATAAGAGCGAAACTCGAGTCCAGTGCTTCCCCCTTTTGGTGTGGACTCACCGGAATAATTACGCCAGAACAGGAACACGGCCGTTCAAACAAGAGTGGTGTGGCTATGAACAAAAATATGATGGAGTTAATGACCTGTCTTGTTGCTTGTTTCAACCATGAAGATTTTACCGTAAATTGGTCTTGAGCTGTCGAAAGCATATGCAAATTGGTGCTACAATTTGTGCCAAACTATGCACACGGCTTTGGTGTTCCCAGCACGCGGTATTCGTCGCGCGAGAAGCCGGATAATATCACTTTCTGATTGCCGCCGACACATTCGTACTTGGGTAATTGGGGGTTTCAGATACTAACCGCGGAAACGCGGGCTAACACAACACTTAGATTTATAGTGATGAAACACCAGCGCGGTTTTCTTCTGCTTTACAGTCTGTGCTGAGTTGTTTCGTAGCAGGAAACGCCGGGCCAGATTTCAGAATAGCCTTTGTAACTGTCGCATATCGAGGGCGATTCAAAAATCTACCTAATAAATGCAATCCTCCAGTCTTATGCTGAGGTTCTTACTGGTCTGACCCGAATAGCTTGACAGGAAATGGTTGCTTTTTTACTGTGAGGTCAAAGTTCATTTACTAGCGCAGCCAGAAAAATAACTGTAATTGTGAAAGGGGAAGAATGACGGATTATATTTACGAGCAAAATTATTGGCTGTACATTTTGCACGGATTCTAACAGCATATTAGAAAGTGAACCGCAGTTAATCCGAGTCCGATAAAAGCGGATTAAGTCCTTCCAATTACCAAATAACATCGCCGCCATAAAAATCCCACCGAAAGTTGGACAACTAAGGTGCGTTAATGTGTTGTAATCATGTGACCTTTGTCCTATTCGCCGGACACGCAGTAGTTCAGGATTGGCCACGAACCGGAAAGTTCCTACCTGTGGGATACACTGTACATCTGCCAAAAGAATGTCGGTCTTCCAAAGTGACTACAAGTTGCAACCACTCTCAGAACTCAAGCAACGATATTTAGTAGTACTAAAACGCAAACATACTCCAGATTGATATCTTTGGATTCTGTCCGTGCCTCCCCCGGTAAAATCTCCCCTTTCACTGCGGAAACGCACATTTCTGCTTCGAGCTTCGCTTCTTTCTCCAGTCTCGCACTCCATGTCTGTACAAGTAAATCATAGACAGTTAAGGCTAAGTGAATTATATATACACGGTAATTTGTGAAGTGAAAGCGCTTGTAGAAGCACAGGTACGCACTAACATGGATTAGTATGGATATGACAGCGAAGAGAGATACAATTGAACAATGGAAGTGTAATCAAACCGTCAAACTGGAGACTGTACAGTATACAACACTCCCTGATTGCTGAATTTGCCAGAACACAGGATTTGACCAAGCAAGGTCACACCAAGCATTAAATATATTTATGGAAGTTTTTTTGTTTACCGCCAGACTGCCTCGAATTTCCCTAAATAGGCAGGCAATATGTGTTTGCAGCTATGTCTACCTTGAACTCATATGACTCTAATGTTTGTTCATTACGATGGGCCTTGCTAGCCGCATTGCAGCCACTTAGACGGGCTGAATTAAACTGTGCAAATTAAGTTCCAGATCTTTTTTGTGATAAACTGCGTTTCCCAGGCAAAGCTGGTGGATGCATTTACTCTTAGGGTCTCTCAGAGACCTGTACAGCAAGATGTGGGCTGTCTGCCTTACCTGAATTGTGGTAAGAGCACAAAATCCACCTGCCCAATGGCAATGTGTTCATCCATCGAATGAAGCGTCAAGCTTTCCTAGATTAGTCAAAATTCTCAAAGATATCATCGAAACCTTTAGAATACAATGGGATAACTCCTGTTAACTTTGGATTTCAGTGCTCACATTTCGTTGTACTGACGTAAGAACTCACCAAATTGGATAACACAGAGGACACTGGTTGATGGGGCACTTTGCGCTGCCACATCATGGTCCGGTACATATTGTGCCTGTTTAGATAGTCCTCCTTGTTTTGGTCTGAAGCTGTCGTGGTGTATATAGGGTGAAGAAGAATCCCAGTCATGAGTTCACCAGCATTTGAATAATAGCAAGCTTTTACAATCCGGGTGTATGACACCGGTAGAGAGTGGAAGTTCGGCTAGACCTCCGAACTTGTAACTTATTGCTGTCCCGATCCAGCGCCTTAACGTCAAAAAACTAACTACTAAGGAACATAGCTCCACTGCAAAAAAATAAGTGTATAATTGACATCGTGGTTTTTAAACGGCACCTTAGGTCTTGAATCCAAAGTGTCACCTGCCGTTGTGTGAACCATTCATCGTTGGTCGTGCGCTTGTGACATGCTAAACGCTGATTAATCTTCGGTCGTTGCTGAATTGATTGACGACTGGAGCATCGAACTGGCAGCTCACTTTCTTGGTCAAGATGCTGCAATTTCGGTGGGGTTTGAGAATCTCAGTAGTTTCAAAGCAGTCTGAGAATCTGTGCTTTTGCACAGACACGGTGTATGTGCGGTTTTTTTGCTTCATAAGTGGGGTGCCAGAGTGGCATTTTACAAATAAAATTCACCCCGAATTTATCCGTTTAAAACTTAGCTATTTTTGAAGTGCGGAATAAACAGATGTACGCCAACGGGTGACGCTTAGTGCATTTGTGCTTGTGGCTTTCTTTGGTGAATGCTGAGTACTGGCTGGTGATTGAAGAACAAACGAAACATTTAAATTTGTGCAGGTACACATGACACCAGAAACATTAAAACTTTAAAGCATGAGTCAGAAAGGAGACTTTTCTTGTGAATTTTTCGCACAGATTGATGAAGTTATATGTGATTCATAAAGGGAGAACACATTGTGCCATCAAAATATTGCAGTCAGGAACCCCAGTCAGCCCGAAGCAAAATATATAAGGTTTCTCCAGAGAAAACATTCACAAATGGAGACATATGAGATAAGTCACAGGTCAGAAGAATTTGGCGGCCACTCAGAAGACCGATAGCTTCATCGGTTGAAAGCATTTTTTAAAAATGAATAGATTGTGGGGTAATCCTTCTGATGATTACTCAATCAACCTCTGCAGGCAGTGCGTGCGTTTTCGGGGAACTCTCACAAAATGACATCGAAAAAGGGCGCACAGAACGTCGTACGGCTCAACAATGAATTCACGGAAGTGGATACGAATAAACTAATCCAAAATAAGAGGGACTTCCGAGGTAAAGACCAATACAACCGATTATTACGTGATAACCTGGTGGAACTTCGCAACAGTGGGGTAATGTAGCGTTCTCTCTTTACATCCAACGTCTGGAGGAGTTGGGATTACACACAGGTAGGCCTAACCAGACAATGGTTGCTAGCACAGGAGTTACGGTGGTCGAAGAGCCGTGATTCCAGTTTTCCAAATTCCAGTCTTCCAAAATTGTTGGGCATCCAACATATTCGTCTCTTCAATATGGCACTCCATATTTTACAAGGCTATGAAATCTTAACCGAGATGGTTCGACTGGGACTTTCCAAAATACGTCTGCAATTTGGAGACGCCAGTCATTACCGAAAGAAGCTTACAATAACCAGGTACCACGTAGATCTGCACACATATTTCTACCGAAACCACATGAAGGCAGACCAATTTTGCCCAGTGACAGGTATGAGTTAATGTGCGGTCTAAAACGACGAAAACACCAGTTGAAAAGAAACCCGTTTTTCCAATCTTGAGCATCTAGCTGGATGTTTTGGAGAATTCTTCTACGCACCACCACACTCCCCAATAACTAACTGATGGTGTCACGTGATGAAACGTTTGCAATTACATTGCCCAGCTCAGTGAACAAGCCAACGACCATCTACCCCAACTGGGCTTCAACATTTATCTCTTTAGAAAATACTTCTCTTCTCCATATTATGCAGCTGTGCAAAAATCTTGTTCAAAGACATTTTTACAAATGAATACGAATGAACGCTGTACACATGCCAAGTTGACAGCATATGGTTATCAAACTACTTTGCACCACCATCCTCGGTAGTTTCCATCAAACTGGCAAACCTGATGATATTACTAGACAAACCGAACTCCGGCGAACTTACTCCTGCCAGATGAAAACTCTACGCGTTCTGTGTAAGAAAGGAATATATGCTAATCGATAAAAAAATATCGAGCACAACGTCTAATGAACTATCTCTTGAGGTCCATACATAATTAGTAAGTAGGGTTCTAAGAGGTTGCGTTACCTCTACAACAAAATGTACTTTTCGCTCCATTTTTAACGTTGTCTGCTGCAACTTGCTTTAAACACATAAAAATAGACAAAACTCGGTCATTTGTTGAACAGTGTTGTCCACCTTGCCTTCTCTTGCTCACTGTGCTATCCAGTTGAATTAGAGTAACTTTCAGTTGCTTTTATTCCGTTTTGAATGAAGATCAGATGACTATTGGTTTTTAGCTTGTGAAAATGCCGCTTGACGTAGTGAACTTCAAGTGGCCTAGTGTTCACTCCGAACATGTTTGCCAGACTTTTCAGCGGTGATTGTGATATTGCACGTTTACAAAGGAACAAGTAATTTGTCATTGACGACGGATCTACTCTAGTTTTGAAGGACCGTTATTGGTTTGTGGCCATTTCTGATAACCAGGTCACTTTTATTCAAGTCACAACGCTAACAGAGCTTGAACGGGATGGAACATTGAACGAACTGAAGCATTATAACTAAGTCTCACTGACCTCATGCATGTGGCTAGGCCTTCACAATACCCTGTTATTTTGCATGTACTTTTCAACCAGCTGAGGCAACTACTAAACTTAGTCAGTTAAAACTCTTAAGTACTATCCTACTAGCAAAAGGACAACTCTTCAAGATGAACCCTAGAATTGGAAAAGAGATCAAATCATTACTCAATGCCACCAATCAAATTTCGAGGCCTCAGCCATCCCATCTTTTATTAACACGCGAATCGGTAGCCAGGCTAGAATGCTCAGGTATGTCTTATGTGTATACGAGCATAAGTACGTATGAAAAATATATCGATGTATGAAAAATATGTGAAAAATATCTCTTCACGGATGCACATTATCGTTCAGCTTCATTATTGAACTAATTTTGACCCTTCAAATGTAGGTGAAATGCGGTGACCTCTAGCTTCAGCTCAACTGATGTCACTTTAATGCCAATTGCACAAATCATCTCCGCCTCTGATAACAGTGCCTAGTTTTCAAAATGTTTTTACGTTTTTGCAGTTGGTCACCTCGTTTTTATATAACCCAAGTAGAAAATCCTTCTAAGGGATACCACAAAATTCGAGACTAATGGGAAGTCTACTCGACTGTGAATCGATTACATTCTGCTTACGTTCATATGGCATTTCGTTGTCCACATTGCCCCTGAAACGAGAACCAAAGCGAAAAGTAGCATAAATAAAGTAGTCCAAATGTAAAATTATTCGCTATAGATCAGATGTCCGCTGATCTGTTCGCCAAGCCCAGAAATGTGCTGGCAGATGTCTCGTCATCAATCGTGAAGGTATCATTCCCACGCGTTGATGATATACCCAACACATTGGTAACTATATTTCCGGTCACGCAGAACGATCAACAGCCATCTGATTTATAACCAACTGACGTAGCCGTGCCATCGAAATGAGCAAGGAAAATGATATACACAATACTACTGCTTACGGAGGCCAGTAGCGACAAACTGTATTATGTATGTCCGATTCCACGTTGGAGCCCGTCCAATAGTGCTTACAGTAGGCTTGATAACATCCAACGGTCTGTGTGTTTGCCCACACAAGCTGAAAGACCGAAATAAATGAGTGATATTCACTTGATCTTCATCGTGTGACTGATCTGGTTTACTTATTAGTGTTAGTGTACCTGTGTGTAGCCCGACACTTGGACGGAATTTCCTGGAGGATATCGACCGTATTTGTAGTGTAGATGTTGATCAAACCAGTACTTGACCGCACTGTAAGCAGAGTGTAAAGAAAACATTAGATCACTTCTATGACAAGGAAATGCGCAAAATATAACAATGTCAAGGAAAGATAGGTGAAATGCCATCTTATCTTTTGGTCGCACCTTAAACACGCAAGGTTGTTATTATCTGCTCCGTATCATTTGCTATGTTAATTGGTTACCGCTAACCATCTTGCTCCTCCGATTTTCTTCAACGTATATGGGTTGGGTGTCCTTACTTGGGAGTATGTTTTTGAAAGAAGGGATTTGTTTTGTCCTCCACTTCTATCCTAGCGCTCTACCAGCCGGTTACAGAAAACATATTATAAAAGTATAGCGGGTGGATTACTGTGTAGTTACCTTTATGACCTTAGCTAAGTATACTATGCAGTTATTTCTGGCGACGTAGATTTTTTTCGGGACGGTGCCGGTAAGATCCTTCAGCGAAAACAACCAGACTCATCATGTCCAGAGGTATTCGTAATTCACCGATCCTACACTCCTTCTTTGAAGGGATAACTTGAGATATTATCCTTGCCCTATTTTTTAAATTTTGGCTAGTGTGCATTTTTCACGTTGGTAGTCATGGGTTTTAGTTGGATGCATTTAAACATAAATATAATGAAGAGTTTTGCTTCTAAAACACTCCGAGATACACATACAAGAATGATAAATTCTGGATTACTGAACGTCCAAGGAATGACCTATTTAGTTGAACGACCAAAGTCATACCCGAACCCCTCCCAAATTTTCACAGTATCATTCTGGTATCTACACCTATTCGTTTCATGGTGCATTTGCTTTTTTTGTCGTTTCTTGAAACGCCACAACCGTTGAATCGACTAACTCGAAAAAGTTTCGTTTTGGCCAATCGCAAGTAAAAAATTGTTTTTTTCTGAAAGTAGTTGCTATATCTTATTGCGTCAGTAAATAACCTGTTCTTCGGGTTGGGTGCTAAGCATAGCATTTCGATTAAAGCAGTTACAGTTGTATGTATACCAGCATCTAAGACCTAATCGCAAGAAGTGGTCTTAAAGTTGTCCAGCCTGACTATGCCAACAACGTTTGCACGATAGCACAACGGGATTGAGGTAATCTAACTCAGCGTAGCCAGTATGCCACCCAGCGGAAAATATCCGCGTACTGTTTACCGCTGCCGGCTTATTTAGTTAAACGATAGAAAATGGTTTGGAAGCCTTAAATGCACTCGAATAAAAGTCGGATCACTGCAAGCTCTACTTATGAATTTTGATGGACTACGTCTTTAGGGAATAAGCGAGTTGCATAGGAACTGTGCACTCACGGGTCGCAGCACACGCACAGTTGATAACGCACACAGAGCTGCGGATCGACACTTCAAGGCCGGTACAAAAGAAATAGGATTTAACGAGCATTTGACTGCATAAGGTAGCCATCACTGATGGAGTTCCCGTCACGAGTTTCTTGATATGACACTGACCCATCATCTAAGGTTTCATCCTTTGTTTCCTAATGATATTCAGTCCCAAACAATCGAGATGCTGAATGCCGAATGACTCCTTGAGCGTGGAACCATTAAACTGTCATTCACGCCATCATGTGCCATTATTCAGTAGCTGGAATAGCAAGTATAAAACGCACCCTGACTATCCCGCATGCTTACTATTTGTGCTAATCTCACATACATTTGATTTTGTTTGTTCTCAGAAAAGGACTGAACCACTGGATTCCATTTTAACTGTTATTGCAGCTCAAACGCCTTGCCGCTGATCGGACCCTGTATATCTGACAAGTGAGGAGGTGTTTTAGGCCTACGTCCACCAACGTCCGCTCGATGCACCTGAAATATCCCGCCCAAAACAGGAGAACATGTTCCCACTGGCAAATGTAATTTCTTTACCGGACAGCAAGAACGAAGCTTCGGTAACGGTCCTGTTTGAGCTGATCGACTAACCCATTTGACACTCATGGACGTCGATGGGAAAACTTTGTTTAGTGGTAGGATACCGCGGGATTTGCAAACCTTCCAACTGAACAGATTTCCACCTCTGCTTGTGCAGTCATTCTGGTCAATCTACATCATGGTTGGAGAGCGTTAAAATGAGTCGCGTGCTACTCGCTCATGAATCAACTTCTAGCACGGCTATTGAGCTCGCGAAAGAGCCTAACTGGTGTTTGGCACTTTTTCTATTTGCTACGGTCCCATCAGATTGAGTGTACTGGGCCAGGAGAAGGCGTTAATACAAGTGAGATGTGCATGAAATATTAAGCAGAAATACCTTCAGGTTGTACATTCACATTAATGTCGGTTGAACAGTAACAGGAAGCCAACGATTATATACAGTCGATGAGGTTTAACAAGAGCAATCAAAATTTAAGAATCAGGTTTACGCGTCATTACCGCTAATGACGGGAAAGATTCGATAGTGGGGTCGGACTATCAACACAACGAGGCGTTTATCGATTTTTTTATCGAGACGTTTGGCAAACCGTTTATATCCCTCAACCGTGAACACATCTGCGTGTTCAACTTGGGCTGGTGATATGGCTTTCACACGTACTCGCACTTCAGCTGTCCAGAACTGAGACCCTACCATCGCCGAGCATTGCACTGTTGATTGTCTCCAATGAGGGCAAAAATAATAGTCTAATCTTAGCCCTTTTTGTGTAGAATCAGACGAAAATTATCGGTACACGACTTCTGAAAATCCCGCAGCCTCCTAAAATAAACTTGGCACTTCTGATTTATGTTTCGCAAGTGGTCATGTACCACCAATTTTACAACTACATTCGACATATATATATATATATATATATATGCATATATATGATAAGCATTACTAAAGTTCGAACTCACTCAAAGTTTTCTCTTTTGGATTGTACTCGAACCCCACCAGGCGAATTCTCTCCAGTCGCTGAATAAGCGCAACTTTCTGCTTCATTTCTTGCATTTGCCTCCAGAACATCGCTCCATGTCTGTAAATGGTCATGGTATGAAATGCAAGTTGAAATGATGTGATCAACTTACGCGCGGTAATAATTTAAAAAATGGTTTCCTGGCTGCCATGCCACCCGAATGTTGCACGAGGGCTGGGATACTGCCAGGTTGCCCAAGCCTAGACAGGGAAAGTTGAGAGACAGAGGTGGTGTTCGAACCACGGACCTTCCAGTCAGTAAAGTCACGCTCCGACCACTTGGTACCTCTCGTGAGAAAGACGTAAAAGTGACCGTACGGCGCATGCTAAATCACTGTAAGATGCTTTGTGGAGTGCGCTGTAAACACTCCTTCTCAAGCAAACCACTTGACAGTATTGATGATATTGCGGTCGGAGTTGTGAAGCACATGTGAGCGAATCAAGATTCTTAGGTCATATCAGCTGAATAGCCGACAGGAGACCCGTCCATGTGAATGTTTTTGTGTATCCATCAAGACAATCAAACTGGTTGAAGCACAGATATTTCCAACTTCAGAAAATTTGAATGTGTGAGTACTTTGTGAAGTTGCGTGGCCCGATCAAACGGGAAACCCGTCACTCAAAAAGACGAATAGCTCTACTAGGATGTCAGGGGTATAGCAGAAGCAAGTTCGGCGATAACATCATCGGGATCCTGGTTGCGTAATCGCGTTACAGTAACTTTAAACAATGACATCATTTTAAACTGCGCCATCCGCTATTGACGTAGACGTTTTATTTTTTCACAGAACAACACTTCCCGACCAAGTATTCTAACTTGGTACTTGAGACAGTAATGTTTGTTCCATGGTCCAATAAAGCTGGTTCGTCTGAGGCGTTGACTGGCGAGAGACTCGCTGTACGACGATTACACAATGCACGACGTGAGCATACCGCTGATCTTGTGGATACTTCTTGACAAGTGTATAAAGCCTAGTGAAAGAGAACTATCAGCGCGCAGTATCGCCAATACAGTGGATTTCATACAACCAGTCAACGGAGTTAAAATGCATAAATTGCAATTGTTACCGCTTGATAGCCTTTTTATCATACGCTCCAACCGATTGACTGGTTATTATTGTCACTTAGTGAGCTAAAATTTCCAAGAAGTTCGACAGACGTATTTGCAGCTCAGGATAACCGTTACTGATTAAAAGCTGATGTACGCACATCGCTGTGTTCTTCAGTATGAGGTGGATGAATGGATGTAGTTCCCTCAGGGCCACTCGACTAAAAGTTCGATGCATGTCAGAAAACGCTTCGCTATTGTGGTGAGCGCGGGAAAGCTGATGTTATGATTTATTTGTCCACTTATAAGTAAAATAAATCTGATACAGAAATTCCATAGTTTAAACAAGGTGTGTTGGAATATGATATTGTGATCCGACGTTGCCATGGTCACCATTTCTCAAGGAATCACAATCAGTGGAATGCACGTCACGTCCTGAGATTGGTTGGCAATCTGATGAGAACGCAGTCTATGTTGTTTATATGTGTTTATGCGCGTGTGCACTTTACCTGCCCGAACCTTGGATGCACATCCTACGAATGTCTAAAATCCTAGTTTGAATCCAGGAAAACTTTATAGCAATTTTTACAGGTGGAAAAAAAGATTCGAAAATTGGTAGTTTCGCTAAAGTGTGTTTAAACTTATTCAGGGTCCACCTTGGGCGCGGATTCCTATTTTTGATGTCTTTCGTGGCTCAGCATGATGTTTTTATGAAGGCGGGGAGGGAGCCTTTTATGGGAAAGTTGGTTTCTGCATGCGTCTTCCAACCTATTGGGTTTGGAAATATTCTGAAACAGTACGTAGACAGTCATTACGTCATCCTCATCCGCGCAATTCAGAATGGAGCAGCGATTCCTATGTAAGAAAGTGTTTCCTATCGTCGCAGCAGGTGTCCCGCCGGACGAGGCCAAGAAATTTGCCACAGCTAGTAAGGTTAATGGATATTTTATGATCGGACTTTTGCGTACCATCGATACTAGCCTTCCAGGATGGGGATCACGTGATCTTTACTGTGCCTGGTTGGATGCTCTGCTCGAACGAGTGCCTGGAGATGTAGACACCTCAGAATGATCATAATAAGTTAGCATCAATTCCTTCCCCAGCCAATTTTTATTCGCAGTAAGGCTCTTAGATACGTCAGACAAACATTAGTAGGTCAGGCATATTTTTTTAGTTTGAAAAACGCCTGGCTTTCCGACAAAACTGGCTCATTCAAATTTCCAGTATAAAAATACGACCAAAATCCTATAACGGAAAACGATTATCAGCATTTTCGGGGAAATTATGAAGACTTTTATCATGGTTGTCCGCCTTACAAGTAGCTACGTGAACTCACCAAGTTGGGGAGCAGCAAAGCCGGTGGTTGATTCGGAACCATCCCTCTGAGGACCATCGTCCGGTACTGGTTGTGCTTGTTCAAGAATGTATTTTTATCGTGACCGAAGGATCCCAAGTTATCTGAAAAGTCAGGAGTTTCTATGATTGCATTCCGTTTTGTTTTTCAACACTTTTGCAAGCTACGCCTTACTAACTGTCTTGAACCACACTTGGGATATTGACCCTTTGCTAGAATGTGAAAAAAAACATAAAATAATGCCGTGCACGGGGGCGTATTGCGGTTTTTTCTCTTCAAATGTTGTTTTAACGACGGCTTTAGATTTTAGCACCATAGGCGGACATAGCTCAGTCTGATCAGTCTACCCAAGTGAAGTCGCACGACACAAATTGTATGACGTGCAGTTAATTTTGAATGAATTCGCTCTCCGAACCTAATTGATTTTGACTACTCTGTAAGACACTATCAGACCCTGTGGACATGACTGCTATGACTCTCAAAAATGCGTCTTGTATCTGATCTTGCACAAGGTGAAGATGATTAAGAACATTAAAGTTCAGTTTGATCTCCGCTGATAGATGACGGTAGGTTGCTCGAGGGGGGGGTTAGGCGGGAAATCGCGCAACAACACAGGAGCAAGGTCGACTGCAGTCTGTGCATTACAGCTAGTTTTTCAGGAACGCCAGCTGTGACAGCGAAATAAGTTTGCATTTAAACTGGGGCGCTAGTAAGTCACGTGATAATACGGATATATCAGTCATGGTTGGCTGACTGGACTGCTAAAGAAGTCATCCTCACTGCATTTGGCCGCAAATGCACACCGGATTTATATAAGACCTGTGTTGAAGACAGCGACATGGGAAAGA